TGTCCAGCAGATGGCAGACAAGATTCTTCTTAAAGGGCTGTAGTTTTGAAATGGACTTTATGTTTTGAGGAATGTCATTCCATGCTTTAGCAGGTCTGACGCTGCCAAAAATTACAGATTTTTTTCCTGGATCTGTGAGAGCAGGACTTGAATCTCCGATCTCGTAAAGTTCTTCTTTTTACTTTGCGATGTCACTTATGAATGGACACTTCCTGGTATGTGGGGCAGGAAACGTATATCCTTACAGTATATGGTGTTTTTGGGGTGGTAGTTATGTAAATCACCTCTCCCCGTGCACGAGCAGCTGATACGCATTCATCAGTTTACGCAGCTCATTTACACACTTTTCCTGAAGATAGAAGAGTTTGTTGAATCTGARGTGACATGTTCGTACGAACCCTTTGTACGAACAAAAGTAAGAGAAATTTAGGATAAGAATACGAACATATTTTTGCATGAGGCCCAATGTTTTCTGCTTCATGGTTCCCTGAATGTTCTGATCTGAAATGACGATGGCTTACCTGAATCTCTATGTGTCTGGGATTATCTATGTACTTCTCTATTAATAACCGATCATCTCCAAAACTGGAGGCAGCTTCTTGGGAAGAGAAACGGAAACCTTCCCTGAAAGGAAACAAACAGTTTTGGCAATCTTTTATTAAAAATAAACAAACAAACAAACAAACAAACAAACAAACAAACAAACAAACAACACTGATTCATAATACCTTGTCTCTTCATCATTCCACGCAATCCTCATCCCTTTTCCTCCTCCTCCTGCAGAAGCTTTGATCATTACTGGATAGCCTAGTGACAAAATGAAACAGAGTCAGAAATATGTCCTTTTGTGACAAAAAAGAAAGTTCTGCACACAGAAATAAAAAAAAACAAAGTTCTGATGCAGTCTAAAGGGTTAAATAAACAAATGAGAACTAAATACTCTGTTTCTGTGGTTTATCTTTCCAAATGAAGACAATAAGAAAAATGAGGACTTACCAATTTGTTGTGCAATCTTCACAGCATCTTCTGCAGTCTGAAGCAGAAAAAGCCTGATGGTTACTAATGATAACTCAAAACAGTCTTTATTAACCCCACCTGAAATGTTTAGCCCAAACTTTAAAACTAGGTTCATCTGATGGGTTTAGGATCGTTTATAAACCTGAATAATTATTAGATTTGAGTCAGGAGGACTGAGGAAAAATGGCCTGAAAATAACTGAAGTAAAGAGGAGTTAAAAAGCAACAAATGTCCACAGAAACAATTCTAAACATCTTTAGACAGGCTGAAAAAATGTTCATCAAACTTGAGTTGTTCAGCATCCTGGCCTGTAAGTGAAGGAACTCCTAACCTATTTTRAATTTCAATCTCAGATATATTACTTGTTTGTTATTGTTTACACATGCTTTAATGCTCTGCAGTGAAGGTGTACCTTGACAACTCCATCAAATCCTGGGATGGTGTTGACCTTAGCTGTCTTAGCAATCAGTTTGCTCTCGATTTTATCCCCCATGGCCTGGATGGCATGAGTGTCTGGGCCGATGAACGTCACACCCTCTGCAGCCTGGCAACAAAACAATACAGTGATATTTACAGCAGCTAATGAATGATAGCTCAGGTGATACTGCAGCACTACAAGTGCACAAAGAGGTTTAAAGAGCTGTTTGATARGGTCCCAGTCTCCTCCTCTTAAATTTGATACAAGGAGCAAGAGAGGCCTTGGATTTTCTCTCCCTGCTTATGCACTTCGCCTTTGTTTGCACACGTTTCTGTAAACTTTTATGTTAAATCTGAATAACTGTCAAACCCTTTTTATTATATTCTGATACATAAAACCCTACAAGTGAAAGAGACAATACATGATGAAGGTCAAACATTTTAAAAAGCAGTTTTAAGTACTTTCTGAAAGTTCTTAGTTGTAAAAGAAAAAAGTGCAAATATATTTAAATATGCGCGCGTGCACACACACACACACACACACACACACACACACACACACACACACACACNCACACACACACACACACACACACACACACACACACACACACACACACACACACACACGTATAGCATTAAATTGAGAACAAAGGTTTTTTGTTACTCACGAGGCGCTTTGCAAATTCTTTATTTTCAGAAAGAAACCCATATCCAGGATGAACCTTTAAAGTGAACAAAATATATTCTAAGCAATATTATAACTTTGATATTTAATAAAATTGAAAATATAAGTTTATGCAAAATAATTTAAACTGCTTATTGAAAGAGAAAAAAAGAAAAACATCCCAAACTGTACTAAAAGGTACATTAAGTAACTCCTCACAGCCTGAGCTCCAGTCAGTCTGATGGCATCCATGATGGCGTCCATATTCAGGTAGCTCTTACTGGTGGGGGCGGGGCCGACACAGACTGCTTCGTCTGCCATTTTTACATGAACCTTAAAACACATGACGGCACACAAACTTCAAAAACATTGAATTAAATTACAGAGTATAAAACGTTTTTAGTGAACGCAGCTGAAGACTCACAGCACTGGAGTCAACGTCGCTGTGAACAGCTACAGTCCGGATGCCCATCTTCTTACATGTTTTCATCACCTGACAGGAAGGGAAAAATATATATATATATATATATATATTGATAGTTAATGGTGCCGATGCTTGATCACTGAACCACCTCCAATTTGGACATTATTTTTCCATTTCCATCAAGATTTCTGATTCTCTGCTCCAGCATTAGTTAAAGCCATACAAAAATAAAAACAACCCTAATTCATAACAAAAATAACAACAAGGATGCTTCAGAGGTCATGCATGCTCACCTCTATGGCACAATTTTCAGAGATGAACAGAAAGATAAATAATAAAACAATTTCAATTTCCTAGAAGCATCAGTGAGCTGGAAAGTCTTACCCTGCAAGCAATTTCTCCTCTGTTGGCGATAAGGATCTTATCAAAAGTCTGTGGAGGGAAAATAAACAAGTGAACGTGACCCTTTTAACACAGCTGTTATAAACCTGGTCTTCATTTTACATCAGCTAACATGTGCTGTTCTTCACACATCAGTGCCATGTCAGCAAGTGTCTGTCGGAGCAACTTCTCCAACATCCAAATCTAAACTTCAGCTGTCTGACGGTCAAAAGAAGAGTAATCCAAATACTTTTAAACAATAATAAGTTAATTGTTTACCTTTTTTAAATTCCCACAGTCTGGAAGAAAGAAAAAGAGGCTCTTATTTTACCTTTTCATTGGTATTAACAACAGCAGAGTACAGAGCTCGGCTCGTCACTGCACAGCATCCGGACCGGCATGGAGCAAACTGAAAAACACCACACACATTAAATTCTAAGAAATATAAACTAAACTAAACTGACAAATGCAATTCGGGGTACTTTTTCTATATATTTTTTTCCAAACCACAACCAGGAGAAAAAAAATCAGGGGTTGAACCGGCCAGGTAAAAAAAAATCACAAACTCAGATGTTGGAGCCAAGAGTCAGCAGAGTATACATTATAATAAATACTCAATAACTGGAGTGAACTGGAGTCTCCTCAGAGCCTAGACACACAGCCTCCCAGTGGTCATAATGTTATGGCTGGTTCACTACATATCAGCTCGTTTGTGTTCGGTTTAAGCACAAAATAAAGCCCAACGCCGTTAAATACATGGAAAGATTTTCTTTTGATAAAACAATTTCCTAAAGTCAGACTTTTCCTCCCCTGTGTGTGTCATTAATGAAACATAACCGAGTTCTTTTACGCTCGTTTCGACTCAAACTGAGTAAACTCTCCAACTTTTTTTCCCAGAAACATGAAGTCATTTGGACGCTGCAAGCTGTTCTTGTGTTTTTCTTCACTGAAGTGTTCAGGTTGAGCTCACCTTCACAGACAGTAGCCTGTCCAGATTCAGAGACAGCTTGTACAGCGCCGCCATGTTGGCCAACTTCTTCTTCTTCTTCTTCTTCGATTTCTTCTTCTTCTGCTGCTCTTAAAACGACCTTCAAATGTGCAGCTGCTCTACTGCCACCTTCAGGCTTTACGTGTAATTTCACTGAAAAACACCCTGAAATACAGGTTTTAATAAAGCGGTTTTTTTCCCTGTTTTTATTGTATTATGTAGTAATAATCATTATAATTATTTTAGTCAGTTAGTTAGTTAGGATTTTGTGTAAAATGTAAGTAAATTGAATGTAAAAATGTAGTAATTTACACTGCATGGCCAAAAAAAAAAGTCACCATCTGCATTTAACTAAGGTCTATGATGTGGGGTTGCTGCAGTTGGTCAGGTCTAGATCCAGCAAATCTGTGCTCAAAGAATGAGGTTAGTTGACTACCTGAATATATTGAATGACCAGGTTATTCCATCAATGTTTCTTCCCTGACGGCACGGGCATATTCCAAGATGACAATGTCAGGATTCATGGGGCTGGAATTGTGAAAGAGTTGTTCAGGGAGCAGACATCATTTTCACACATGGATTGGCTCCACAGAGTCCATTGAGAATCTTTGGGATGTGCTGAAGGAGGTCAGAATCTACCGTCATCAATGCTAGATCTTGGTGAAAAGTTAATGCAGCACTGGATGGAAATAAATTTTGTGACATTGAAAAAAGCTTGTCCAAACATTGCCACAGAGAATAATCAAAGCTAAAGGCAGTCCAACAAAATTTTAGAAGTGTGACCCCTTTTTTTTTTTTTGTGGTGGTGATTGTTTTTTGACCGGGCAGTGTATTTTTTCAGAAATGAGGTAATAGCTTGAGAAAATCATTTTTGCTAAACTGAGTAAGATCACCAAACTGTGACTCTGTCCAATCACTATCTGCCATCTAATGAAAAGCACCATGTGAAGGGTTATCCACAGGTTAGATGGGTAAGCAGTCTTACTTTAGCATATTATATTTGACAAATTCAAACTTCAGCCTGATTAGAAAGCTGTTTAGAAGACTTTATTCTTTGCTTTCATTAGTAGAGCAACTCTGAGGTCCTGATGTCACAAAGTAAACATGTTTTCTGTGGCTGAACGACATTTCAAAAAGGCAGCATTAGCACAATATCATCTCATATAATCATTTTAAAACAGCTCGGAGAACACAAGTCATTTCTGTGTGACAGATGTAGGATAATTTTCTCGAGAGGTTGACAGAGTTCTAATCTGAACGGAGACAGACACAAGGAATGAAAACCACTTAAAAGTCCATAGAAAAAGTAAAAGGGAGAGGCTTGAATAGTGCAATGAAGGGTTGGACAAACTCTTCGAATGCATTCAAATCACTAAATACTGTGTTGGAGGAGTCTGCGATCACAGTGAAGGCCCCCTTTCACACCGGATGATGACCCTACCACGCTCGTTACGGACTGTACATTTTATTGGGACATTGCTAGAGTGGGGCAACTTTGGACCCTTCACTGTGAATCGAGATGCTGCTGAGTGCTCGCCAAATACTTTCAACTATCTTCCACATTCCCAAGACGCTCTATTGGCCCACCCTGGCACAACTGTATTGGACCTTTGCTACGATCACATCTGAGCTAGGTTGTTTCCATGACCTTGTCTCGATGTAGGACTGCGCCACATTATGGGGTACAGTGCAACAATAATAAACCACAATGACCCTGATACAAACATTTTTTGCATTCTCAAAACCACCAAGGACCAATAAGGTTCTGTCATGTATAACGTTAGACCCCGGCGCCATCCCCCTACAAAGACCATCCATGTCCTGGCTAATCATTTACACCGCAGCAGGTTCATCATCCAGGGTGAATGTGGCCTAATACTTGGAACAAGTTGCCATCAACAGTTTGTTACTAAAGGCTTCCGTCATCGCCACAAAGTGCTCATCGGATCATCCGTTTATACTTTTTTCTCATCGGATCATTTAACCTTTACACAAGGATGCATGGTGAAACCTCAGCACAAAGGTACCCTTCTGGCCCCCACCTGCTCACACTTCGTTCCACCAGCGTTGATCTAACCCTTGACGATGCTCCATCAAGGTATAGCCCTTAAACTGGTCGATACTCTGTTTCTCTGGAGACGTCACCCTGCTCAGATGCCCCTCTACACAGTTTTAGAGCASGCGAACAAGTAAACAAAACGGCCCTGGATCAACCCGCCCCCGTCATTAGTTCGGGTTAGTTATCCATCTTTAAAAATTTKAATGGATTTTTTTTCGTTTGTTTCATAAACAAAATGATGAAATTCTTTGCATCATTTCAAACATTGCTTTTGTCCACACATAAACCCAGTCTCAGAGCCGACTTATTTTAATGTGAAACTGCAAAAATCTTCACGTTTGATGAGAACCTTAATCCAGGGGCCGCTGATGATGAAGCATACAACTGCTTGTTCAGGCCTGACCTGGCTCTGAATATATGAAATATGTTTGTTTCATGTCCAAAGTCACTGCCACTGTCTTACGTGACGTACTCCTCGTCGTCACTGCGTTCTGATTTGATGTGGTCCGGGTGAAGGAGTGGGAAATGTGGCGCTGTAGTTCTAGTACACACGTACCACTCCTTAATGTTAGACAGCTGGGTTAAGGCTGGGTTGACCGATCGCTGGCTCCTCCGGGGGGTTCGTCCAGTCTGCTGCTTCTGAGTCAGTTGACTCTTCAGGCCCGACAGCGAGAGATCCAGAGGCATGGCCACCGGAGACGAACTCCTCAGCAGCACATTGTTCCCCACCTCACTGGCCGAGCCCATGTTCAGTTCGTGAGCCGACAGCAGAGGAAAGTGAGCGTTTTTGCTGGCGAGTGACGAAGAGAAGTGGTTCATTTTAAGGTCCAGGGGTTCGAGGATGGGTTGCTGGAGTTGGTGACGGCCGAAGCTGTACAGGTCCTGGGGATCAGAGGTAGGCGACGACTTGACGTGGATCTTCATGTGTTTCCTCAGGGAGCTGGGGTGGGTGTAGGACTTGGTGCAGCCCAGAGCCTTGCAGTCGTAAGGCTTTGAGGCCGTGTGAACCTGCGAGTGCTTCTTCCGGTCYCTGCTGTTGGCGAAGCGGCGCTCACAGAACTCACACTGGAATGGCTTCTCACCTGGTAAAKAAACAAAAACAAGTAAATGAAGAATGCTTCACCGAATTTTGCTGTGTTCAGAGAACCTGATTTTACAAAGAAAAACTTAATAACCAGATTAACCAATATTAAAGAAAATTTGAACAGGAAGTAGTTTTACTGTTATTCATATTCGTGAAAAAACTCCCAAAAGAAGTCCATAAGAATACTTTAAAGCAGACATTTTATGCTTTTAATCCTTCTTTACATTTAAGTAACTGTTAGGGTGTATATAAAGTGGATCTGCAATGCTTTGGTCTGAATTCCTCTTTACTGTAACTCCATAAGTCCCTCTTTCACCCCTTTTCTGAGGCGTGAGATCTTTTCAGAGCAGAACGAATGAGCTAAGCTGATTGAATGAATAGCATATTAATATAAAATGCTTGCAGAGTTATTGGAATTATAAAAAAAAAAACTTAAGTTTTTAGATAAATGTGTTAGGGATCTGAGTTTGAGCTCTGATAAAAACCCGAAAACAGATAAAGGTTTACAAATTTTATTAAAATTGCTGGTGTGGAGCTGGAACAACCCAGGTGCGTGGGTCCGGTTCTCTGGACACAGAAAAAAACAGGTTAGTGGCTGTAAGACTCTGGGACAAAATACTACTAGTATTTTTAGCCACTAACCTGGTGTCAACTGGGAGCCTCCGTGTGGAAACACCGACTGTGTCAGTTTGGTTCCAGAGAAACACGATGACGTCACCGACAATCCTTGGGAGCGTTGCGGGTCCGAGAAACGGTTTCGGGGTCCAGGGACAGACGAGGTTCATACACAGAGGGATCAGAGAATACGACAGGTTAAGAGGAGCAAACTTAACTCTTGAATCCGGGAGGCAGGCAGGGGCCGAGAACCAGGAAGTCTGAGGTGTCGTGGTGCCGAGCAAGGGAGAGACGAGGGGCAGGAGTCCAAGAAACAGAAACAGGGTCATTACCAGAAGAGCAGATGGCAGAAGGTATCTGACACGGGCTGAGGCAAGAGGCGGTAATCCAAGGGAAGAGAAGGGGGTCGAGGAGCCGAGATCAGAACAGGACATGGGACAAGAATGCTGGTGAATCATAGACTGGCTGATGATAAACTGGCAGAGTGCTGAGGGAAACTGCTGGCTTAAATACAGAGGYACACAGGTGAGTTGCATGAGCTGATTACCTGAGGATCTGTGAAGGAGGGGGAGCAGGGCTGTGACAAGGCTGAGGAAAAGAGCTGCTAAAAACACATGACATGAGATAAAAACAAAYACAAAACTAAAACTTGACCTAAAACTATAACAGAACCCCCCACCTAAGGTCCGGCTCCTAACGGACCTCTGGGGAGACTGAGCTGGTTAGGATTGTCTCGATGAAAGTCCTTAATAAGTGACTTGTCCAAGATGTGGCGTGCAGGGACCCAAGACCTTTCTTCAGGGTCGTAACTTCCCAGTCCACAAGACACTGAACGCCTCGTCCCCATCGGCGAGATTTTAGCAGTCTACGAACTGTGTAGGCAGGACCACCGTCGATGAGTCGGGCGGGAGGAGGGGGCCTGGAGGAGGGCACAAATCTAGACTGCACAACAGGTTTGACCCGGGACACATGGAAAGTAGGATGGACCTTCATGGATGCTGGGAGCTTGAGTCTGACAGCCACCGGGTTCACCACTTTGGAAATAGGAAAGGGTCCCACGAAGCGAGGTGCCAATTTCCGGCACTCAACCCTCAGAGGAAGGTCTTTGGTAGACAACCATACACGGTCTCCAACCTGATACAGGGGTGCAGGAATCCTTCTGCGGTTGGCTGTCTTGGTGGCAATAATGGAGGACTTGAGGAGCTCTTTCCTGGCTGCTCTCCAAACTCTTTGGCAGCGGAGGGCGGCCCGATGAGCAGATGGCACCTGGGCAGCATGCTCATGAGTGGTGAACACCGGTGGTTGATGTCCAATATGACGTAAAAAGA